TTGATAAACATCCACCTGTTATTTCATATAAAAATACTGCTTCTCTAAATAAAGAAATAATGGTAAAACCATAGAAAACCCCAAAATGCTCAGGAGGTTCACAGACTTTCAAGCAGCACTGTATGAGATGCTATGGCCCAACTACAGTAAGTAGCACCGTTGTTTTCTCGTCTATGCTGAGCTGTACAGTGTTCTCTTTTTCTGTTTCTCTTTTGATCATCACACTCTATTACAGAGACTTGCCATTGGGTGAAACGCAGCGTTACCTGAATAAAATGAGTTCGAACATTGTTGGCATCATTTGGGATTATTGAAGAACACAACTCAACTACATACAGAACATAGAGCTAGAGTTTATAGACATTTTAATGTGGAAATGTTACAGATTATAGCTTTAATGGCACAACACGTTGTAATGTTAATTCCGGCCATGCAGATGAACGGCTGTACAGGGGCTGTCTGTCTGTCTGTCTGTCATCTACCTGATGACTTTGAGGATGGTGTTCCTGTAGCGCAGCTGGTCAGACTGGACGTTGGGGTTGGAGAGAGCCCTCCTCAGCTCCCTCACCGTGTCCTCGCCGCCCAGATAAGGCATGGTTGCCGCAGACACACCCTGACACAGCAGAACCCCACGACGTTAAGTACAGGACTGTAAATATATTAGCTTGCTGACAAAAACCGAATACACAGAGAATGCACTTATTCACGGACATACACACCATTTAACCTTGTTAATCTAAAACACAACTTGCTACATTACACCATTCTTAACACAGCAGTGTTACTTTAAAAGCATTACCGTTTGACACTACTGTGGTGAATCGCTTGTTTACACCGTGCACACTTCCGCATTTCTTCTTCTGCTTTTAGCTTCTCTACTCAATCATACGCCGCCCTCTGCTGGCTGGGGTAGAGATAACACGTTGCGTGTTAGCAGCACAACCGGCTTAATCGGCCAGAAGGAAGGGGCCCACAAGTGAACAAAGCCCAGCAATGTTTTTATTCTCCAATAAATAAAATGCATTGTTGTATAAAAATACCTATATTGTGACACACCCCATGAATAAAATAAGTGCAAAATAAAGCCAGGCTGAATGGGAGACGATACACCTGAACTCATGTCATTTCACAATGCAAGCTCTCATTGATTCCAGATTTGGTGTCAAAGTGGGCAGGGATTCCTCTGAATCTCTGAAAAAACAGAATGGGAATATATTGAGCTAGATCTAGCAGTGTTTTGACCTATGGTTGGTATTTTTGCACATATATCACTTAAATTATTCAATGTAATGCTAATCCCTATTACACGTGTTAAACATTTTATTTCGATTGAACTTTGTATGTTGGGGATGCAACATGCAAAAGTCTCACCATGCTTGGGTCTTAATGTTATTACCAAAGTGGGATCAAAATCTTTACCCACGCTGCAACATAAAAATGAAATTTGTGCACATTGTACTCACATAACATACAAACAGTATTTCAGTGCGAGTTGATGATGGTTTTATTGATTGAAAATCAGGAAATCTACAAACACAGACAGCTTCAGACCTCCAGCAACCTCAGTCCGACCCCGATCCAAAGGCCAACATCCACTCCGCCTGCCCCCGTTAGCTGGGGTTTAAAAGGCAGAGCTTCATAAAAAGGAAGGGTGGGACGGACTTGTTGCTGGACGGCCAGTCAAGCTGACACAGAAGGACATTCTGAACGCCACCTGGCCGGCCCAAAGGAAGCTGCTCAAGCCTTCCTATGGGCTGTGTGGGCGGAGCCAGATGCCAGGACTGATGAACCATTTTTTTTCACATGATACATTCATCGACAATAACATCATCCACTTTCAAATCAAAGAGTCGACAAAAAACTGTTTCCACTTCCTCACCCCAGTCAAACACACACACACATTTACACTTTTTTTCAGTGGCAAGAATGATTTGGAATGTTTTTTCTTTAGAATTGAAACTAATTCTTTCCAGAAACCTTTGCATTCAGATAAATTATATAAAGTCACTTTACTGTATGGATTAAGAGAGGGGGCAGGGGAGGAAAGGCAGGGAGTGCAGATGTAAATAAAAAAGGATGGGGTGGGGTAGGACAGCATTCTACCCTGAATTTAAATTTGTTTCTCCTTGTTTCAGCAGCTCTCCATCTCCTTTCCAAAGGCGGATAAATAAAAGTGTATGCTGTCCATTCCCTCTCCCACTGGATGACGGCCATTTTGGTCTGTGTGCTCTCAGCATTTTGACTGAAAAGAGACGAGATGGACAGCAGCATCAACACGCACACACACACACACACACACACACACACGCGTGCACACATACACACACACAGTGTCTATGACAGATTGGGGCTGGGAGCGGGGCTGGTGGTGCTGTTGTCCTGATTCGCTGCCTGGCTCCCACGTGGGGGAACCTCGATAATGCGGGGCTTGTCGATGATGCGAGCGCGGCGGTCGCCTTTCTCTACAATTCCGATTATCCACGCTCCGCCCGCCGCCCCCTGACCTGCAGCTCCAGAGCTCTGGCTCTTCATCTCAGAGCAAAACTTGGCCGCTTGCTCTCTGGGCAGACACACCAGCAGCCCACCTGAAGGAAAGGAGAGGAAGAGGGATTTCAGGGTACATAGAGACGGCAGTTATGATAATATATACTTTCAAATAATCATTTAACGTTGCTGCATTCAAAAACATACAGACGAGACAACATTTATTGCACATTACTCTCATACCAGAAGTCTCTGCTGACGTGCCCTGAACCAGGTTGAACACGTTTCCACAGGCCTTACTGATGGCAGCCATCTTGGCTATGATTGGTAGGTTGTGGATGACGAAGGCCACCTCATTTCGTTGCTGTGCTGCCAGGTTGTTTGCGTGACCTAACAACCCGAAACCTGTCACATCTGTCGCGGCGTGGGCCTGGAACTTGTGCATTAGGCCCGCCGCTAGAGACAAAAACATGAATGAGTCCGAATGGAACAACTCTAGAAACGTAATCGTTAGCTAATTAGGTAGTGTTTTATTAAGGTTAGCTATCACTAGCTAATTAATCATTAAAGCTGCAGTAGGTAATATTTATAAAAGTAACTGTCATATACTACTTTATCCTGACAGTAGTACATGAGAGAGATAATCCGTGAAACAATCAGGTTCCTCTGGCTCCTCATGGTATTTACAAGAATCCACCGGGCCTGAATGAAAACAACCAATCAGAGCCAAAAAAAGCTAGTTGATTGTTGAGTGTCATTTCCAGAATCTGTATTTGACCACCTGGGTTCAGCAAAAATGACAAAAAGTTATAACTGCAGCTTTAATGACAAGAAAAAGTCACATTAAGCCTTCTACTGGACCAAACCATCTTCAAAGTAGACCCAGGCCAATGCACGTTCAGATCACACACAGCCACTGAAAAAAGGTCTCAGCTGTATCAAACGGTAAATACATTTCCTTGATCAGACTGCAGAACTTCAGACCACAATGTCCAAAGTGTAGTGTACCTGTGCGGTTTAGCGTTGCCATGGAGAACATGGCTTCCTGATAGGCCTCTTTAACTTCCTCTTTGGTGATGACGAGCTTGATCTTGTTCCACCTTTCAGGCTGGTGAGATATAAAAACAGAGACAGGAAGAAGTGTGAGTTCACAAATATGTCAATGTGTCTAAGTCCCTCCCCCTTTTTAGCCATCTTTAAAATGTGGTTGTCTTTTCAACATAGATGAGCCTAGTACATTTTAGTACAGGAAAGAAGGAAGTTGACCAGGGTTCCCAAAGGGGCGGGACTTAAGATGGGTCAATGTAATGACAACACTCCAGATAATGTTCATGTGATCAGAGTGGAATGGCTGACCTGATCAAGCCACTGGTGAGCGTTCACAGCCACCTGCGTGCCCAGAGGCTTAGTCAGAACCAAGACGTCGCCTGGCACAGCACCATCCGGCCTGGAAAAACCCCAACACACACACACACACACATTAAATACTGAAATGGAGCAAATTACATATTCTCTCAAAAAGTAGTAATTCAATTCTTTTTAGGACTTTTGAGGGTTCTTTGAGTTAGTTATGCATTTGGTTTTGTCCTATGTGGCTGGGATTAATGTAAATGCAGATGGAAATTGGACAAGGAAAATGTGTTAAAATGTGAGTATGTATTTGAATTGTACTGCACTATACAGATGGCAAAATAAAAAATAAAATACAGGTTCAAAAATCATAAAAATGCATTATTAAAACAGTGCAGTTTCTCTTTGCCTATTTGAAGCACAGACGGAAATACAGTAATAGTATACAAATTTTAAGAGCTTCCTTATAACAATTCAAATGATTTATGCAACATTGCACTGACATAAAATATGTCCACAGGGCAGATACACTAGTAAAAAAAAACAAAAAAACGCAATGTGATCCAAGATATTAAACATTAAACTTCACATACTGGAGACACAGAATAAAACAGTGTCTTGGGCAGACTCATATACTGGTTTGTCCAGCAGGCATTTTGATCTGTCAGAGCAGAAAAGCATAGGTGGAACTAATAAGACTGACAATGCCTCAGCTCCAGTTTGTGTCATTTGCACACGTTATAAGTGTTGGATTTTGTGGTACAAGATGTCAAAATGACTGCAGTGAAAAGGAAACTTACAGCCACAAGAGCTGTTGTTGAGGTTAATGTTGAGGCTGTGACAGCTGTCATCAGCCTAATATTAAGAAACCTAATTATTTCTATACACCCCCTACTGGCAGCACATTCTAAAATTAATACTAATATTTGAAAAAATATGACTTTAAATACACAAAATAACTTGAAAAAACTAAAGATTTAGCGTGTATAAGAGAATATTATCCACATTTTACTGTGGACCATTATCATAATTTATTTTGTGTAGTATTTCAATTTTGAATCTGAACATTTTCACTTTAAAGAATGTATAAACTCTAGAGCCATGTCTGTATGTAGTTGAGTTGTGTTCTT